TCACAGCTATCCAAACCAGCCAATCAACTTTGAGGCCGACTTGGCCGTGCCCCCACCTAAGGCGCTCGGCCGCTTGCCTTGGCGACGCTGGATGTGTACCCCCGTCCGGCTGCCGACTTGTTTCAAGTTATTCTCTATTCATTCCGCATAGAATACAGTGGTCTCTCTATGGCGTCCAACTTCTCTTCCTATTGTATCCAGGACCTGGCCTAAAGGCAGTAGTGGCTTGGGTCGCCTATGTCTTAAGCCGTCGCGACAAACCCTCCAATCGTGGAGCTGCTTGTCCTACTTGACGGGACACGCATGCGCTGCCACCTCGTGGCCCTAATTATTAAGTGGTCATAACGTGAGAGTGGCATTCACTGAGCTGTTTTGCTTGTTGGACTGCATGCGGTTGTTCCGTTTGGCATTGGAACTCCAGCTCGAAGTACCTGCAGGCGATCACAGAGCGACGAGAAATCAATAACAAACAATTCTAGAGTATTCAGAATGATCATTTCTAGTTTATTTGCTTCGCCAGCCTGTCTTAAACAGCACAGTGAGAATTTACCATAGTCGTCTCCTTGAAGTTACACCTTGACAGTTCGACCATCGATTTCGATGATGTCCACCGTGTGCCCCACAGCAGGTTGGAGCAGGGACGGTGACTTGCGCAGGGGTTTATAGTGCCAGTAGACTTGCGCTGCATCTATCTACACTCTCTCCACCTCCCTCGCCCAAGCCCGGTGTCAAGACAGAGTCAAGAAGACCGGAGACGAGGGAGGCCGCAGGTGGATAGCTCGGACGGATCCTCACCTTGGCGTTCCACCACACCCCCTGGTCCACACAACAAATAACCAGGATTTCAACCAACACAAGAGAGATTTGGAGGCTGGCACGGCCGAAACCGCACCTGGGCGTGCCGCCAACGCCTGGCTCGGATCCCACACTGTGGTGGGAGTGCCATAAAGGCCACATTAAAAAGGAGCCATTGCAGCCTGACTCTCAGACCGCCTCCCGTTAAGGAGGAGGTCCAAGGTACCCCGTCAGTTGGTAACATTCCAAGCCACGGCTTTTAGCGCACCGTGATAGCTTCAAGCGCGTCAGATTGATTATAGTGAGGAAAAAGTGCGCTGAGTCGTCGACCTCACTCTCCCTTCCCATTACCACACTCCAGCCGCCGTCCGAGCCGGTCGGCAAACTGGAGTGGTGGATGGGCGCGGTGGCTGCCACGGTCGACTGACCGTGACTGCGCGCGCCACAGCACGACCTGGCCCCCCATACACACACAAACACCAGGATTTCACACAACGGGGGTTGAACGGCGTGTCTCTCACTTGCGTGAGAGGGCCGTGGAAGGTGCTGCTTCAGCCCGTTCCCAGCCCACCAGTCCGCCACTCCACACAGCGCACACACACACACACACACACACACACACACACACACACAACGCGACGAACTGCATGAACCGAGAGCGGGCATCAATCAGCAACCTTCCTATCCACGACACTTGAAGTGTCGGGATAGTCTCGGACTCAAATCACCCGTACAGCCGAAGCCGCGTGGGAACCGAAACGAGATGCACACTTCCCACTTGCGTGGAAGGTGGCAGTTGGTGCACGCGGTGGGTAAGTGTTGATGTGTGTTGGTGATGGTGGAGGAGGGTAGGGAGTGTGTGGATGTGTGGTGTAACCGGCGGTTGTCTACCGCAGGTCGTCGTGGATGCGCATGTGGCCGAATAGGCCCATGCGGTGCCTGAAAGTGCGAGGACAGTGTGGACAGTTGAGACGAGCTTGGTGGGTGTAGGTTGGTGCTCCAGGCACTGGTTCTCCGGTCTCTGTGCGATGGATTCGCAAGTGACCTACCAGGCCGATGCGTGAGGTGAGTGTGCGTGGACAGTGTGGGCACGTGAAGTTGGCGGTGTCAGAATCAGCTACAGAGGAGGCGTTGGTGGTGGCGCAGATGGACGGTGCGAGGGTGGTGCTGGACATGGTGGGCGTGATTGGTGTGTCGGAATTGTGGTCGATTCCGCTCTCGTGGATGCGCATGTGGCCGAATAGACCCATGCGATGCGTGAAGGTGCGAGGGCAGTGTGGGCAGTGGAGGCGAGTGCGGTGGGTGTAGGTTGGTGCTCCAGGCACTGGTTCGCCAGTCTATGTGCGATGGATTCGCAAGTGACCCACCAGGCCGATGCGTGAGGTGAAGGTGCGGTCGCAGTGAGGACAGGTGTAGTCCTGATTCTCATTGCTGGAGTCAGGAGAGGCGGGGGTGGTGCCGGTTGTTGTGTCGCGGTCGGAGATGTGCGAGACGGCTGCCTCAGCGGCCACCGTTGGGGCAGTGGT